ACACATGATAGGTTCCCAAATCTTAGCTTAAGAGATTGCTTCATGAAAATAAATTTCATTAAGTGGGTATTTGGAACAAGATGTTGTGTGTACAGCCTGTGCTCGTGTATTCAGCTTCTCACTGCTCCACAAGGAGAACCATTTACAGGAATCCTACCATCTCATTTTGCTGAATCTCCCTCGCTTCAGATTCAATTCTTATTTCCTGTTCTTTCTTTTGGAATGACATTCTGGATTTGCCTTAAGCAGACCCAAAGTGGGCATGTAGATACCAGCTTTTCTTTTCAGCTACTATTGCATTTACTAAAATCCTAATTATATTGTATCTTTGCCATTGACATTTATAATGCCCTTCATTATGACAAAAAGAGAAGATTTGTGCCTTTACTTCCCTTTTGGGGAACCAAAAATGATTTGATTCACGTGGTCTGAGAAAGAGAAAACAGTAGACACCAGACCAGGCAATTATCTCTTGGCCAGTCACTAGCAGGGACTCCCTAGTCTCCATTTAGATTGTAAAGACTGAATGTTAAACTTATCCTTATTCATTATTTTTCAAGTCTTAAAAACAAAATGACGTACTAGAGGGGGGGATTTAATTCTTTAGCTCCTGAAGCCTCCAATTATAATGCATAGGTTGAGGGAGAAATCCTGAGCACGTCCAGGCAGGTGCTCAGCTCTAATCAGTTGTTTTCTGTGTGTTTAGAGCAAACTCCAAAGACCGTGGTTTGGATTTATTCCCATGACTGCAAGGTCAAGCCTTGCTCCTTGAGACCAGAGGGAAAACCAAACAGAACGGATTTTAGAAATTTCTGATCTAAACTTACCATTTTGCAAATAAAGCTGAGACTCAGAGAAGCTATTTGTTTAAGGTGATTCAATTGGATTGATAGTGACAGATCTGGGACTGAAATTGGCCATGCTCTTTCATGTCAGCTTTTTGGTACCTGTCTTAACTCTTTCATTTCCCATCCAATATCTGGAGTGATTTCATGACCGTATAGACAACTTATCTTGCATCCGAGCCCCTGAGTTCCTTAAATTCTTCATCTGTTGTGACTTTCATACTGATCTCATTTCCATCACCCCTCCCATGGACCGTCTCATCACCTATAACTGTCCACCTCTGAAATAGCTCAGTCTCTAAGGACGACATTTGTTTTTCTTTCTCTGGTTCTTAATGGCATAGGGACTTTTATCCATCTTGCCTTTATTTTCTCTTTTTTAGCCCACTCCTACATTGCCTTCTTTCCCTGTCAGATTCCATGACCCATCTAGTCAGATGCTCTTTTTTTTTTTTTACACCAATATCCTCAACTCTCTTTATTTATTGTTTTTCTTTGGGCCCGTCTGACAAAAATCCAACTCTGCACTTGTTTGCTTTCCTCATGCTTCCACCAGGGCTGATAAAAGCCAAGGAGAAAATGCCACAGCTGGGCAGATGGATGACTTCCTAACAGTATTCTCAAAGTGTGATCCCCAGGCCAGCAACATCAGTATGATCTGGGAACTTGCTAGAAATGTAAATTCTTAGAGCTCCTTCAGTGTACTGAATCAGAAACTCTCAGAATAGGACACAACAGTCTGTGTTTTTACAAGTTCTCCACATAATTATGATATACTTTAAAGTTTACAAAAAATTTTGGGTTTGTAACCTCATCTGGCTATTAACACACTGCCAATCTTTATATGTTCTTCATATTAGTAATATTCTATGTTTTCCATTTTAGTTTTTTCAAATCTTTTCCATTCTCCTCAAATTTAAGACACTGCCCCCATCTCTCCTCACTCTCCAGACGTTATCATTCTCTAACTTATCTTAGTTTGTGCTTCAACTCCCTTAAGTTCCTGCCACGAAATCCTCAGACTTAACTAGAGTCCGTTGCACTGGAAGAGTCTTCATGTCTGAGGCAGTCCCGACCTTTGTGTTCTAGATTCCTTTCCCTTCAGCGTTGGGGACTTTCCCTCCTTCTCTTTACCAAGTCCTCTCTTTCTATTGGCATCCTGCACCCAACCTCATCACAATTTACATTCTGCATGTGATGAAAAGCACTGTAGAGTTTTAAGCAAGGGTATGGCATTATCTGACATATAGTTTATATCCTTTTTCTGTGGAGAATCGGTTGCATGAGGCAAGAGCTGAAGCAAGGAAACCAGTTTGGATGTTACAGAAAAGTCCGAAGAGAGGGGATCGTGGCGTAGGCCAGGTTACTTACAGTGGAGATGTAACAAGCTTTGGGCTGCGATTTCGAGGTAGAGTTAACAGAGGTGGGAGTGGGGGTCAAAGACAATCCTTGTTTTTTGATTGTAATAACTGTGTGGATGGTGATGCTGTTTACCAGAATGAGGAAGACTGGGAGAGAATAAGATGGCTGGAAAAAGATCAAGAAAAATTTCTGGCCATGTTAAGTTTCAATTGTTTATTGAAGGTATATATGGAAATAGTCAGCTAAATATTTAAGCCTAGAGTTCCAGGAAAAGATCAGGAATAGAAATGTAGATTTAGGAATCTTTGGCCTATAGGTAAACTCAAAGTTCTGGTATTTGATGAAGACATCTTGGGAAAGTGTGCAGAAAGAGAAGGTGGCCTGTGACAAAGCCCTGTGCTATCCCAATATTAAAGTGGAAGATTGGAGAGAAAATTTCTAGCACAGAAGACTGAGAATGAGCAATTGGTAGGTTAGGAGAATTTCTCAGAAGAAGGGAGTAGTCAGCTATGCAAAATTTTGCTAAGAAGTAAATTAAAATAAAAACAGAGAAATAACCACTGGAAATGGCAACATGGAGGCTTCCAGAGAGCTGGACAAGAGCAGTAAAAATGGCATGTTGACAACAGAGGTCTGATTAGAATTTGAGGAAATCACATTGTTGAATTAGTTCTGCCTAATCATGTAGTCCTACCTAAGAAGAAGCTGAGACACTTGTTCGTCCTTTACTCTAATCCTTGATCAATAGATTCCTGAAATCAATATAATTCTAAAAACATGTGCTTAAGTTCCTCAAACTAACGCAGACTTCTATAGAAATAGGAGTGGTTGTTAAAATCCCAGGTTTAAAAAGGT